CTATGTTATTTTATTTTTTATTTTTTGTATTTTAGTATTTATTTTATTTATTAAATTGTTGTTCCATGCTGCTTTCATTCTGTACAGCACTTTGGTCAACCCCGGTTGTTTTAAATGTGCTCTATAAATAAAGTTTGAGTTGAGTTGAGTTGAGTTTTGAATTGAATCAAAGGTACGGTCATCTATACCATGTGAAATAAAACTGGTAGTAATGGTATCAGAAAACAAATTCTTAAGTCTTCACCTTACTATGTTAAGCACTGTGAGATGACATGTTGTAAACTGCGCTATAAACATAAAATTGAATTGAAATTATTAGGTACCTTTACAGTACACACTGTAGGATTTTTTTTACATAATGTCAACGCCAACTGACCCAGATGAAAACAAATTGGGTCTTATTAGCTCTGACCTCTAAATCATACTTCAAACCATCAATCGAAAGCTGTGTACCTGCTTTGAGTCATATTCCTGGATGCAAAGGGAGACAAGTCTCACAATTTTGGCTTTCATGAGGAAACCAAACTTCAAATGTAACTAGTGTTGACCTGAGAGAAGCATGAATTTGTTGAACTACTTGTTCAATACCATGCTGCATTGCTTATCAAAATTATCTGCATTTGGACAATTGCATATAATAGAAGTCATGCTCTGTAGTTGTGGTATATACTTTTACTGTATTGCTCTGAATTTAGTAATTAAAAAACCTTCTGCTTTGTACTTTATTTAGTCAGTCTGCTGTAAATTCCTCTGCATTTCCAGAAGATCTTTCACATTAAAAATCTCAGAGGAAAGAGAATAATTATACTCTTTTAAATACTGGATGGCTTAGTTGCAAACTAGAGTACATATTGGTTTACCAAAGGAAGCTGAAAGTGCTGCACTTGACTGTTTTATTAATACTGTGGAAATATACAGTAACTATGAGTTTACTTTAACACATTGCAATATAAACAAAATAAAGAAATTCTGAAATAAATCCGGGACTGCAAGGTGACTCGGTGCTTAGCACCATTGCCTCGCAGCAAGAAGGTCGCTGGTTCGCGTCCTGGTGAGGACACCCGGGATCTGTCTGCATGGAGTTCTCCCCATGCAGCGTGGGTTCTCTCCGCTTTCTCCAGCTTCCTCCCACAGTCCAAAAACATGTTGAGGTTAATTGGTGATTCTAAATTGTCCGTAGGTGTGAATGTGAGTGTGCTTGGTTGTCTGTCTCTAAGTGTAGCCCTGTGATAGACTAATGAGGATTAAGCAGTGTATAGATACTGGATGGATGAAATAAATCCATAGGTCACTGACAAACCAGTTTCAAACAAAGGCATCTCTGCACTTGAATATTTGAGAGTATTTGAGAAATGAACTGGCTTTACCTTGTCTTTGACTGATCTCAGAACATGCCCCACAAAAAGGGTTGGTGTGAGCATTCATAAGGAGAGGCTATTGTACATTTCATAAAAATCTGTACTCTTAAAACCTGCTAAACCTGCTGAGAAGTATGTCACATGTCACATTACAATGTAGAAATCATCTGATCTCATTGTCATTGTCTGTCTGCCTGCCTCTCCTTCTTCATCTCTTCACCTCGACCTTCTCTTCTTTTTTCAACCCCTTTATTCTCCTTTATCCCCTCTGTGTATTTCAGCCTGCACTGGCCCTATTAAGTGATATCTGCTTCTTTCCTCTTCCTCCACCGAAACCATGTTCGAAACCCGATATCACCTGTCAGGCTCCATTAGAGTGATTACAGTCATTACCCCCAGCCCTACTCTGCACTGCTCTCCATCAAGAACCAACACTACACATCTCCTGTCAGACACTGACAGCTCTCAATAATCTCCTGCTTCTTTTCTTTATCTTTCCTGCTCTTCTTAGCTGTTTTTGTATTTTTTCCTTCATTCTTTCTGCCTCTCTCCAGCTGTCACTCTGTTTTCTCATTTCTCTTGAACCTGTTTAACTCCATCATTGCACTGTTGGCTAAATGTGATACAAAAAGTATATTCCCCTCTTTACTCCAAGTCTGACACATCATTCCCAACTTGGCATAATTATAGCTGGCACACTGTGTTTTTCTGATGATTGCGACTGAAGTGGGAGCATTTGTGTAGAGGCAAATTCGATATTTCCAGACAGCTCCTGAACACACCATCAGAGAATTATGTCTGCCCTTTTGTCTATGCTTGATTGCCACATGGGCTCCTTGGAAAAGTGAGGTAGGTGTTGTAATCAGGATTGCTTGAGGAGTTTTGACTGTTTCAGAGAGTTTCTTCATTCATATGCACATGATGATGACGTGCATTTGTTTGACAGTCTCGTTTGCCTCATATTGGCGTCTGTTTGGCTGAGGTTTGTGATGCCAAGTTTGCCTACCTTGGCGTGATGTAGATGTTATCAATTCCCCTCAAGTCTGCATAACAAAAACAGTTATACCCAGGTATGACTTATTTTACACAGCAGTTAACAAGAGTGTGACAGTTAAAGGTAATCTGTTATAAACATGTTATACACCCCCCGATGAATCGCCACCATATCACAGTAGAGGGATTTGAGTGTCCCTATGATCCTGGGTGTTATGTTGTCCAGGGCAATAGCCCCTGGTATAGTCTTCCAAGGCAAGCTGGTCCTGGGGGAGGGACCAGACAAAGAATGATTCAAAAACTCTGATGAAGAAATGATGAGAAAAGATGAAAGCTGCCACCTCACTTGGAATAGGGAAAATGAGTCCTCCCCCTGGAGCCAGGTCTTGGGGGGGAACTCGCTGGAGAGTGCCTGGTGGCCGAACCTATAGTGGGCCCTGTGAGGTTCGGTCGGGCACAGCCTGAAGAAGCAACACGGGGCCATTGCCCAGAGGGCCCATCACACAAGGGGCAGTAAATCGGGGTCGGATGCTATGCCAAATGGGCAGTGGGCAGGGGTGGGCGTCTGGGCGCACCGCCCCCTGGTGGTGTGGACTGGTTGTAGGGATGTGGAACATCCCCTCACTAGCGGGGAAAGAACCTGAGCTGGTGCAGGAGGTGGAGCAATACCAGCTAGATATATTCGGGCTCACCTCCATGGACTCTCCCCCTGTTTGGGGAGTTTTTAACTCCCACCTCCGGATGAGTTTCCCCTGCATCCCGGGAGAGGTTGGGGACACAGAGTGTAAGTGGGCCATGTTCAAAGCCTCCATTGCAGAAGCGACTGTTGGGACCTGCAGCCAGAAGGGTACAGGTGCCTGTTATGGCAGCAACCCCAAAGTCGTCAGGCTGAAGAAGTAGACTTTCTGGGCCTGGTTAACTCGGGGATCTCTGGAAGCAGCAGGCAGGTACCAGTTGGCCAAAAGGGCTGCAGCTGCAGCGGTTGCGGAAGCTAAAACTTGGGTGTGGGAGGAGTTACGGGAGGCTGTGGAGAAGGACTTTCAGTTGATCTCAAGGAAGTTCTGGCAAACCGTTCAGCGTCCCAAGAAGGGGGAGAACTGCTGACTCAGGCTTTAGTTCTGGTAACAGGCCTCTATACAGTGCTGCTAGAGCCAACCTGAATATAGTCCTCAGGATGTTTAAGTGGCTGACAAGAGGAAGATTGAGGACACATTTACCGACAACGACCCTCTGTGGTTGTTCCAGGGTATCTAGCATATCACCAGCTACAAGACCAGCAACGTCATGACTCCTTACAGTAGTGCCTCACTGGCAGAGGAACTAAACTGCTTCTTTACCTGCTTTGAAGTGAAAAAAGCAGACACGTTGCAGGAGCAAGGGGTGAGGTGTGTGCTCAGAGCAATTAATCTGATGGAAAGCTGCTGGCCCTGATGCCATGACAGGAAGGGTACTGAAATAATGTGCAGATCAGCTCTCTGCATTCTTATCGACAATATCCAACCTGTCCCTGTCCACATCTTACATCCCACCCTGCCTAAAAAATCTAAAGTATCCCACTGCTAAAAAAAGTCAGTTGTGGGCTTATTCAGCTCTCACTGCCTAAGTAGAGCAGCAAACATTCTTAAGGACCAATCCCATCCTGAACATCTGTTTGACCCACGACCATCAGGTAGACCTTTTGACCTTATAATTGTGTATGCACTTTGTATTTATTCATTTTGCACTAAAAAATGTATTCATTTGTCTGACACTCAACATTGCATTTCTCATTTCCAATGGATGTGTATTGTCCCAAAGCTTTGCCAAACAGAAGCCTCATGAGCCTATCAGTCTTTGCTGGAAATTATAAGGACGTTCCTGCGTCTTCCGGGAGAAAAGCCATATTTCAGTGCTAGAAATGTGAGGTTTTCATGATTAAGCCCTGAGGCCCACTAACAAACAGCATCAAATTTAAGTTCAGAGGCAAGCTTATGTAATGGTCAGATCATTGTTTCAGAGGCGGAAAAAAATCCTGTCAAAACCTTGGACAGCTTGCTCTTCATTCAGCTTCACCAAATATTACAGAAGTAAGAAGAAATCTAACCACTTGGCTGTATTTATACACAAATATTTGGTCACTAAATGGAAAAAATTCCATTGGAGAGGGTCCTCTAGATCCTTTTTGTTCCAAAATCTTATTTTGGGCTGACATAAAGGAGAAATCTGCTTCACAAAGACATGTTATCATGAGGGAAGACAGATGAGATATTTAGCTTTAATGCAAGATAGGAATGACGAGGGAGACGTATTCCATAAACCAACCTATAGGTGTTGTTGCACAGATAAGATTTTCACTTGAGTTAAAGTCTACATTTCCATTGTCATCATTTCTTAATACTATTGCATTAGACACGCTAATTTTGGGTTCATGTTAAAGTTTGGAGACCCACAAATCGATTAGGAAACAATTCCCCCCCCCCAAAATAAGAATATTGATTTGTATATAAATAGTTTTCTCTCCCAAGCAGAAACTGGAATACTCAGGAAAACGGTAAGTGCTGAGACCTTCATCTGTAACAGTAGGAGAGCACGTGGGCCAGACTTGGCAGGCAAATTCAGCTTACCATTGCCAAAGGTTCTCTCTATTTCACAAACCACATTAGTTACCCACAGTAAGCCAAAGATGTAGGTGGCAAAGTGCCTTTGAGGTTAATGAGATGAAAATAAATATAACATCTCTGTTTGCATGCAAAGACAGACCAAGGCACTGTGTTAAAAGATGCTATTTGTTTCTTAAAACCACATGGAACCTTTCAGTTAAAGATTTCATTAAATAAACATCCCACCATCATATCCCTAACCTCTCCCCCCTCATCATATTTCAGTTTGTAATCAAAGTGGAAACATACTCACGAAGATAAGCAAGTTGAACAAAACCATCATCAATTTGACAAATGTGAAGCAGCCCATTTTAATCTGTAATAAATGGAGAAGATACATTTTAGCATTTCTTCATTTTGTCAGTGTCCTAGACCTTTTTCTCTTATTTACACTCACAGAGAACGAAACAGACACACAAATACGAAGTCTACTTAGTCACTGTCCAAATTTGTGCTCTGTTATTACATCTTGTCCACATCCCTGCCAAATTAGTGTGGACATTACATTTCTGACAACAAGCCTTAATGACAACCCACACACCTGTACGAAACAGTACAAAATATCTGGTAATGGGCTACTACAGAAAAATACAAATTAGAAAGAAAAGTTTACATGCAGCATATTCATTTAGATTCAGAAATACAGATCTTACCCTTTAATATGTCTTTGTAACTAAGTGGATTAAACCTGTTTCACGGTCCGTGTCCTGGGATTTGAAAAAGCAAAATTGACTTAAATCAAGAAAAAAAGGAGCAAGACACTTTTAATCATAAATATTCGGTGATTTTCTGCCTCTCCAGCTCGAGTGCTTCCAGGTGAGCCGATGTAAGTGCAAAGACAAGTCTGTCTGCATATATTTGTATAGTGATGATATCCAGGCAGGTAAAAAGCCTGTGGTGGAGATCAGAAATCTGATGACTGCTTTTCCTTACGCAAGCTGGAAAAACCAAAGGGAAGAATGGGTGTGGCTCTGGAGGATACAGGTGACAGCAGGTGAATATTGTTCAGATAAAGGTATCCAATGACTCAAGTTGCAGTTCTGACCCTGCAGGTACACAGTGACACAGATTCACAGCACAGGATCAGTCTTTCAGGGATTTGAGGTTTAAAAGATGGAGCTAGGAGTGTGTCTGCAATTGACCTGTCAGACTGTAAAAGGCAAAAATAATCCTCAAAACTTGAGAGGAAAGAGTCAAATTAAGTCTGTGAGATGAAGTGACATGTTTTTCAATATTAGGTCAGATATGGTCATAGCCTTTGAGGTTTAGTTTGTAACTTCTTACCACTGTGACTCTCTTGAAAACTTTTCATGCTGAACAGACAAATTAGTAAAGCTCAAAAATACATCATTCTGTACAGTGAAACCAAATGTATTTTTGATTTGAGGAAGACTTTACCTTTCTGCCTGTAGGACATACAGCTTTACCCTCAATTCTTTCTCACAAAGTCATTAAGTACATATTTTTTAGGCGTAAGTAAAGTGGGAACAGTCACTTGGAGTGACTGTGGCAGAAAAAATATTATTATTTATTAAACATACGGTCTTTAAAGAAGAAACGAGGTGAGTTGGCTAATCACAAAGAAGGCTGGAGCACAGGTGAGGAAAATTAGCAGCTGGTGGTGAAGCACACAGGAGGATCTACATCCAAGAACACAAGTGATCAGTGGAGTTGGAAACATGAAGCACTAGAGACAAATACTCTGCTTGTGTCACTGGACATGGCCAAAGAGCCACTGTGGCTGTACCATAGTCACAGAACAATCTGGCACTGGAAGGCACGAGAAGCCAGGCTTTCATGGAGGTCTGGATGAGGCGAGATGATTTACAGGTGTGTTCAGTCAGCCAGCTGCAGTGAATCAAGCCACAACCTCAGCCACACAGTGAAAGGGAACACTGGAAAATAAAAGGAGATGGAGGGGCGAGAAGCAAAGAAAAATAAAAACCACAACAGAAACCATGTCACCCTGGTTCATTTCCAGCTGTGTGGCTACCAAGTGACTAGTAATATTCAGACTTTTATTTCCTACAGTTTATACATAAATAGTAAACATATGACATAAAGAACAGTGATAGAGAAATGGCCAGACAGACATTAATCTGTTCTAACATCCATATTGCAAAAAAATCCAATCAGATACATATTAATTCTTTCCCTTTTTTCATTTTGCAGGTGTATGGTCAAACTTATTACTATTAGCCCGTGATTGCCACCTTATTATTACAGCACTTTACAAATTCTACTTCTGTGATATTTCATATTGAGTGCCAAGAATTCTGTTCTGTAAGAATATTTCTTACAACAGCAGCATATTTTACATTAAGCCACATTTGTGCTTCTAATGAGCACTATGCATTGATTGACAATGCATTCTGCTGTGGATTCTTTTGTTCATGTCTTCTTTGTTCTTTTTCCTGCTGAGTGCTGCAGCGCCTATCCTGTCCACTAGAGGGAAGTAGTGAACTGTAGTGAAGCCCATCAAAATTCTCTTTCTTCATTGTTGTCCTGCAACTTCAACTGGTGAGTAGTGTTTCTGTGAGTGGAGAAATGTGCTCTTCTTTGTCCTGGAAGAAGGCAAAGAAGTGTTGCATATAGTTCCTTTTATAATTACACACACACA